CCAAAGGGTATTTTGAATAGAACAGGAAAAATCGTGTGTTAATATTTTATACAATAAGAGCATCTTTTGACAGCTTAAAAGTTTTACTAGTCCCACTCAAAATCTATTTTAATGTGTATAATTAATAATATATTTGTTACGTTTATTATATATTAATAATGTTGTTTGTAATTATTGGTGTTGATATAATATTTTGTTATTATGTTATTTGGCCTGCATAAAACCACAGAGATTTTATGGAAGTAGACATGGATGCTTGGGATCTGGTTGCCTAATGATAATTAATTTCTCCTTTACTGATGCAAAAGGAGATTTTTTTAAGAGACTGGGGAATATTTTGGGGTTTACAATGATTAAACAAAGCTTTTCTTATCTGATTTCCTTCAGTTGCCCAGAGGCTGACAAAGATGAGCAAGCACTGTGTGAACCTGGACGACAGAACAGCAAATGTGACAGTGAAGCCTTTTGAACTTGACATGGGATTCCAGTTTGAGGTAAGCAACTGAAATATGCAACTCTCAAAATCAGAGCTCTTTAAAAGCTTTAGGTTCTTTTTTTTCAGTGTTTTCAGTCACAAAGTGCACACAAATTTGATATTTTTAGCTCCACGTCACTGTCTCTGGAAGAAAGATCAATGTTTCAGACATTCCTGAGCTTCCCATTCCTGAAGATTGGATAAGAGACAAACTTGAGCTGCATTTCTACAAAACTAAGCAGGCAGAAGGAGGAGGAGAAATAGAAAATGTGACCTACAACAAGGGGTCTGGGACAGCTGTCATCACATTCCTCAAACCTGGAGGTAGAGCCTGGAATATCTTCTTATCCGAATTCAAGGAGCTTTGTGGGCATTTCACGATTTTGCTTTTTTGTTGGAAGTGCCAAATAAACTTCTTGCAGATTTTTAAAGAATCAACAAGTGTGCTCATCCCACATCCACAAAGATGAGCCTGGTCTTTGAAATGTTTATAAAATACTGGTTAAATTATATTAAATAATTAACTGGGGTTTTTCTTTATTCTCTTACAGCAAGCTACAACTTTGTGGGATGTACTAAATACCCTTTCTGTGCAGAGGAAAGGTGGTTCATCATTTCTGTCTCCCCACATTTTGATTTCCACCTGAGGAAGTTTCAGGTAAAAGAATCTACTGCAGGCTGATAGAACAGATAAGTGGGAAATAGGAGGCTGGGCAGAGTTTTCACTCCTTTTGTGTGAACTTCACAGGAGGGCGGGTGTCAAATAGGCTGTTGAGCACATGTGAAGCTGCAATTTATTTTTAAAGGGTGTGCTTGTCTTTTCCTTGATGGAATTATCTCAGCACTCCCCACGTGGCTGTGCTGGGCTCTTTGGGAAGGAGGTTAAGCACAAAGCTCTGCCATGATCCCTGAGCCCAACAATGCAACATTTGCTCATCCATTCCTTGATTTCACTCCCCCACTCAGCCCAAGTTGTGACTCTGGCACACAGAGGTGCCTCAGCACACTGTCCCTCCAGCTGTCTGCTGCTTTAGGAGTAATGGTGATCAGGTCAGAATTGTGTTTATAATTAGGCCTTTGTAATTAAGGTATGGGCTGCAGTGTGCAGGACACACTGCTGGTGTGGGACATGTCCTTGCAGGAATTTTATGGGGTGGTGCTGTCAGGAGCCATCAGAGCTTCCCAAATGCAGAGTGTGGCTGCATTAAGGAGTGCAGGACACACCACTTAAGGTGTGGGCTCAGAATCATGGAACCACAAAATCTCCTGAGCTGAGAGGGACCCACAGGATCATGGATCCAGCTCCTGGCCATGCACAGACACCCCAAAATCCCACCCTGAGCATCCCTGGGAGCACTGTCCAAACCCTCTGGAGCTCTGGCAGCCTTGGGAATGTGCCCATTCCCTGGGGAGCCTGGGCAGTGCCCAGCCACCCTCTGGGAAAAGAACCTTTCACTGAAATCCAACCTAAATCTGCCCTGACCCAGCTCCAGGGATGTTCTCTAAACTGTTCCTGTGTTCCCAGAGGGCAGAGCTCAGAGTTGTCCCTCAGGAGGAAGCTCCAGACTGGGATGAGTCTTCCCTCACTCTCCTCCAGCCAACCAAGTGCCCTCAGCTGCTCCTCCAAAGCCCCTCCAGACCCTTCATTGTAGTGTGAATCCTGAATTCCTGCTCTTTCCAGAGAAATTTCCACTATCTAAAGCTCATCAGAGATCCCAGCCACACCTGAGTGAGGAATCCAATCCCCATCTGTCCCAGTTCTTTGAGTGCACAGCTGCTGTATAATCCAGGTTTGTTCTTTCCTCCCCAGCCACACTGCAGGGTTTCCAAGAAAACCATTCTGCTGAAAGGAATCCCAGAGGTGGAAGAGGATGAAGAAAGTGTGCAGGACATGATTGAAATTCACTTCCAAAAGCCAAGCAATGGTGGGGGGGAGATAGAGGGAATCAAATACCTCTCCAGAGGAGCAGCCTATGTTTGCTTTGAGGAGGATACTGGGAATGCCACCTCAGAAATCACAGGGGACTCATGAAGTTCTGAGGTTTTGTTCCTCAGGGATTGAAGTAGATATTGTGCTTTAATGCTCTGAAATTGATACTCTAGAAAAGGAATCCCTGCCTTTCTGATTTGTCTCATGGCACTGGCTTTGCCTAGGGAGTCAGCAAAACTCCCTGCCTGTGTTGCAGGTCAAAGGCACAGACCAAGCCTTCAGCAGCCCCTGAAACGTCTCAGATTTTCTGCAACTTTGCACCTTTTATGCCTTGCAGAGTTTTAGATACTCCAGAGTGGGATGAGTGGATTATTTCTTACATTCTGGATACAAAAGCCATATTTAATCCCAATCCAAGCCTCCTCCCAGTCCTGCTTTGTTAAGTGCCAGAGCTTCAGAAGGTGGCTCTGACACAGCTCCAGTCCTGCTGAGGTTGCTGAGTGCCACCAGAACTCAAACACCTGAAAGCATCCTGTAATTTCACAAAAGCCACCTTATCAAATTAGTGGTAGAATTAAAATAGAAAACGGGGGCTGCCAAACCAAGAAATGGCACTTAAGAAATGCCCTGGCATTTGCTGCCTTTAGCTGTTGAGCTTCTGCCAGTTTGTAGCCTGCTTTATTTTTAATATTTGTTTCTGCATTCCATTTTCCTAATTTTTGTTCGTGATTTTGGTTATTTTAAACTGCTTCAGCCAAGGACTGAGCTGATGCTGTACCTGGTTTGGTAGCAGTGCTGCTGAACAGCCCTGAGAGATCTGGTGATCCCAGGCTGGGGCTGGGAGGGCTTGGAGAGAGGGATTTTCCAAGGAGGAATGTTTTTCCTAATGTTTTTCCTTTTCTGCTGTCATCCTTGGAAAACAAATCATCCTCTGACGTTGCACTTTCCCCACCCTTGGAGGCTGAAATGGTTTGGCCCTAACAATCTTAACTCCAAACTAACATGAGCCTGACATTGGAAATAATTAATTTTTGGGGTATTGGACGTCTTGGTGTGCAGGGAAAGGAGAGGGAATACCTCAGGGATTATTATTCCAAACTGTTAATTGGCAATGGATAAAAGTTGAACATGGAAAATTAAAAGCTGCAAACACTAGAGTTTATTTTCAATTTGCTGTCGAGTGAGATACGTGTGACTGTAGCACCTCTCACTGTTTAGGGCATGCAAAGACAGGGATTGATTACCTGACCACTGTAAAATAATAATTTCAAACAAAGTAGTCATGAAGAATTTACAGAAATTGTGCACTTTTGCACTCTCAAAAACTTGATAAGACCAAACACCTTAAAAAGAGAGTGGGAAAATCCTGAGAAAGGTAAAAACTGCTGTGAATTTCAACTGTATCTCACTGATAAATATTGAGAAGTAAATCCTTAAAAAAGGAAAAAGCTTAAAATTCTCATAAGGTGTGACTCATGAGGAGTAGTGAGAAGCTGCAGGTTTTAAAGCCCAGAAAACAAATCAGTTTTTTACATTTTAAAGACAATGTCTGTAAATGTCTTGCCTTTGTCCCTGATGAATTATGGCTTGTGATGGTTACCCTGTTAAATTTCAAAGCAGCAGTGGTGCTTTAAAGGCTGGAGACTGGTTTTAATGATGAAAAATAAGAATAAAGCATCAGTAATTTGTCTATAAATGTCAATATCATTTTTTCCTCCCTGCTGGGATGACTTTCTCTGGGGCTGGGAGGTTTTTATTCCCAAATTACACACAGGGACATTTCCCAGCTGCAGCTTTCACCCAAACATTGCTGTCCAGCCAGACACGGGGCTGTCTGGGGCCACGGGAGCTGTGCCAGGGGTGTCCCTGGCCATGTGGGACAGTGGGGAGGAATTCCTGCCTGGCAGGGGGGGCAGGCCCTGGCACAGGGTGCCAAGAGCAGCTGGGGCTGCCCCTGCATCCCTGGAAGTGTTCGTGTCTGCTCTCCATGTGTACCTCTCTCCATGCACGTCCTTCCCCATGTGTGTCCCTGTGTGGGATTTTGTATGTCCCTGTCCCTGCCTGTCCCTCTCCACTCCTGTCCTTCTCCACCTGTGTCCCTGTGATTTTGTGTGTCCCTGTCCTTCTCCACCTGTGTCCCTGTGTGTGATTTTGTGTGTCCCTGTCCCTAGCCACTCCTGTCCTTCTCCACATGTCCCTGTGTGTGATTTTGTGTGTCCCCGTCCCTCTCCAGTCCCGTCCTTCTCCCTTTTGTCTCTCTCCATGCGTATCCTTGTCCATGTATTTGTCCCTGTCCCTTCATGTCCCTCTCCATGTGTATCTCTCTCCATGCACGTCCCTGTCCACACATGTCCCTCTCCATGCGTGTCCCTGTCCGTGTCTGTCCCTTTCCATGCGCATCCCTCTCCATACCTGTCCTTCTCCACGTGTGTCCCTCTCCACGTGTGTCCCTGTCCCTCTCCATGCGTGTCCCTGTCCGTGTCTGTCCCGGTCCCTCTCCAAGCATGCCCTTCTCCCTGTGTCCCTGTGTGTGTCCCTGTTCCCAGGTGTCCCTGCACACCCCGGTTCCCGTTCCCGCCCCGCAGTTCCAGCCGGGAAGGGCGGGCCGTGCCGCGCTGTCCCGCCGGGCTGGGGGCGGCCGCAGGGCCGGCCCCGCCGCTTTCGCTTTCGCTTCCCCGCCGGGCCCGCTCACTCCGGGCCTTTCCCGGTGGGATCCTCGTCCCGGGATCCCCGTCCCGGTGGGATCCTCGTCCCGGTGAGCCCGTCCCGGTGGGATCCCCGTCCCGGTGAGCCCGTCCCGGTGGGATCCCGTCCCGCTGGAGCAGCGGCCATGGCAAGTGCCGGGGCCGGGGGGAGCGGGGCCGCGCACCGCGAGGGGCAGGGCCGGGAGCAGCGCGGGGAAAGCGCTGGAAAAGGCTGGGGAGAAACGGGACAAGGGATGGAGGGACAGGAGCCAGGGAATGGCTCCCACTGCCAGAGGCAGGGATGGATGGGAGATTGGGAATTGGGAGTTCCTGGCTGGGCGGGAATTGCCAGAGCAGCTGGGGCTGCCCTGGATCCCTGGCAGTGCCCAAGGCCAGGCTGGGGCAGCCTGGGGCAGTGAAAGGCGTCTTTGCCCATGGCAGAGCTGCATTGGGATGAGCTTTAAGGTCCCTCCCCAGCCAAACCACCCCGGGATCTGCCAGGAAATCCCAGCAGGACCCGTTATCAGCAGAGCTGCTGCCCCATCCCTCCCTCCCTCCCCATTCCCGGCCCCTCCCGCAGCGCCCATCCCCGCCTGGGAGCAGCTGCTCGGCACAGACGCGTCTGGGGAGTGATTCAGCACAAACCGCGCGTTCCCGCCTTGGCTTTTTTTTCCCCTAACCCCACTAGCAGGCCCGAGTGTTGCTCCCAAACACCAGCTGGGAAGGTGTGAGGGCTGTCTGGCAGCTGAGCCGAGCTCCGGCTGTGCCAGGCGTGAGAAAATCCCGCCTGCGTCTTGGAGCGCCCTGTTGGTATTCCCGCCGTGCCGCCTCGGGGGCTGCCTCGCGCGCGGGCCCCGCCGCCGGGATAATTACCCGCCGTCATTAATTAAAAGCTCCCGGCTCTCGGAATTTGGGTTGGGTTTGTCTGCAGGGCCCTGGTGGTCCCCGGGATTTTGGGCAGCATCACTCCCTCAGCAGCACCTTGTGGAGCTGGGATCGTGTTGGAGGCAGCCCAGGCCCAGAAACACAACTTAGGAGGAGTTTAAAACTTAAGAGGAGTTTAAACTTAAGAGAAGGTTTAAACAAATCAGCCGGAGTGACTGACCTCAAGTGCAGTGACTTGAGGAATGACAGCTCGTCCCCACAAACCAAATTTATCTCCTTTCTTCCAAAAAGTCAGTGAACTCTTCAGTGTAGTCAGTGCTCCACAGTTTGCAGTGATACTGAATTTCAGAAACCACGTTAGCAGAGGGACCTTGCAGCTGAGAAACTGAAATTTAGTGCTCGTTTTTCCTGCTTTCAGCAGATGCTGAGGGTTTAAAAGGCTGAGATCCCGGCTCTCCTGAATTTAACAGGGAATCCCTGCTGAGCATCACATGCAGTTACAATTTTTCTTTCTCTTCTGATGTTAAATATCAGAATCAGGAAACCACGTTACCAGCGGGACCTTCCAGCTGAGAAACTGAAATTTAGTGCTCATTTTTTCCTGCTTTGAGAAGATTTGAGAGGGTTTAAATGGCATTTAAAGCCATTTTTTAATGCAGGTGCCTGAGGCAGCCTGGCAGGCACTGAGATCCCATTGGGCAGGATTAATTAACCCCTAAGTGCACATTGCCAAGGATCCTGAAACAGCTAAGAAATTGAAAAAAACCCCTAAACAAAACAAAAGGAGACTTGTAATTCATACCATTCACACCTAATGCTTGAATTTTATCTGTTTTGAAAATGAACTTCTCTTGCTACATGGAAAAAACAATTTTTATTTCTATTTTATATATATATATATATATATGTATATATATAAGTATTTATATATATAGTATAGTTTATATATATGTGTGTATATATAGTATTTAGAAATGTAATGGTAGCAAGGATGTTTTCATCATTTTTTTCAGAAATTAGGCATTAATACATACTGCATTATGTATTATATATTAATATATTAATATTATATAATGTATACAATGTATACATTAATATTTATATTATATATAAAAATACATCTTATATATTCTATATATACATATATATTATAGTATATATAGTATAGTGTATATATGTGTGTATATATAAGTAGTTTAGTATTTAAAAATTTAATGGTAGCAGGGATGTTTTCATAATGTTTTCAGAAATTATATATTCTTATATGCATTAACATATATATTATATATAAAAAAATACATCTTATATATTCTGTATATTCATATATATGTATATATAGTATATATATAGTATAGTGTATATATGTGTGTGTATACATATAATTTAGTATTTAGAAATGTAATGGTAGCGGGGATGTTTTCATAATTTTTTCAGAAATTATGCAGTCTTACATACAGATATATATATTGTATAGTGTGTATATATATATTATAGTGTGTATATGTATATAGCTTAGTATTTATATCTAGATATAGATATATATATAATATAGTGTGTGTATATATATAGTATAGTGTGTGTATATATATATATTTTTTTTTTTTTAATTTAGAAATGTAATGGTAGCAGGGATGTTTTTCATAATTTTTTTCAGAAATCATGCATTCTTCATGGATACTTTTTTGTATTGCTGCTTGAAAACACACATTTCCAAACTTGAAATATGGGTGTGAACAGCGTGTACCAGTTAAAAAAAAACCCAAAAAAGGGGAAGAATTGCCAAGGGAGTGGGGGGCTCTGTTTAGTATTTATATATAGATATAGATATATATATAATATAGTGTGTGTATATATATAGTATAGTGTGTATATATATATAGTATAGTGTGTGTGTATATATATATATATATATATTATTTTTTTAAAATTTAGAAATGTAATGGTAGCAGGGATGTTTTTCATATTTTTTTCAGAAATGATGCATTCTTCACGGATACTTTTTTGTATTGCTGCTTGAAAACACACATTTCCAAACTTGAAGTATGGGTGTGAACAGCGTGTACCAGTTTAAAAAAACCCAAAAAAGGGGAAGAATTGCCAAGGGAGTGGGGGGCTCTTTGGGGCTGGGAATGCGGGGTCCCTCCTGAGTTTGCCATCTCTGCAGGCTGCCAGAGGCACGAGGACAGTTGTGGTGGCCGGGGTCCCGGCTGGGCTCCTGCAGGATGAGCTGCTGGCTGACATCCTCACCATCCACTTCCAGCTGGCCAGGAACAGCGGCGGGGACGTGGAGCAGCTCACCTACCCCACCCGCAGAGAAGGAGTCGCCTACGTCACCTTCGACGACCCAGAAGGTGCATTTACATTTTAAAAAATTTTATTTAAATTAATATATTAAAAGTTCAGCCATGCCCCTGAAGAATTAGCCCCAGAAGGATTTGAAACTGGGATTTTATGGAAGGAGGAGCTGTTAGAATTTGAAATTGGAAAAGCTTGTAAGGTAAACTTGAAAGTTAAACACAAAATTTCATTGGAAACTTTAAGAAAAAGCTTCTGAACTTAAGTACTGAAAGCCAAAATATAAATTTATAATTCAAAACGAAAACGTATTAATTAATTAAATTTTACATTAATTTTTAAAAACGCATTAATATTTTAAAATTAAAATAAAATAAAACACATTAATTTAAAAAATAAAACACATTGAATAAAAAATTAAAATTTAAGAATATTTAAAAATTAAAATTAATAATAAATAAATATTTTAAACTACAATACTATAATTTTGTAAATATAATAAATTTATACTGATTATACTCTAATTTTTATAAATAGTATATTATAAATATATTTAAACTATATTATAAATATATTGTTATATAAATACAATATTACTATATTATAAATACAAAAATATTAGAAATGTATACCATAAATTTATAAATGCCATAACATAATAAATGAGAAAAAACTCACACTGTAACATAAATCCATAAAAATATTTTAAAATTAAATTAAAAACAGAAATATCTTTATTAACAAAACATTTTACTAATCAATAATTCTTTAAAATATCCTATAACTAAAAATCTTAAACCTTTTTAAACTGTACTACAACTATACTATACTGTAACAATACAATACTACTAAACTATACTATAACAATATGAGCTAAACTCACCCTTCTTATCTATAAAAAATAAGAAAAAATAAATCGCATCATCTAAAAACCTCAAAACTCTTATCTCTAACTTACTCAAATCTCTTTCAAAAGTCCTGAGGAGGCCGAAGCCTCCCTGCTAATCAGGCCAAGTTTCAGGATTTTGTTTCTGCTCATTGAAGTGATGACTCACTCACCATGCAAAGCATTGTGTTTGTGTTTTAGAGGCAAATCTGTGCTGTGGATAAGGTGTTGTTTTTGTAGCCAGGCCTGGGGGATAAATCTCTGCCAGCTAATGTGCCAGGGAGCTGGGCTCGTGTCTCTGAGTAATAGGTGAAATATTAGGTGAGGGCATGGAGTGGGTGCGTGTGTGAGGGCACAGGAGGGGCTCCAGGTGAGTGCCTGGGTGCATTTTGGGACCATTTGGGTTCATCCTGGGGGCAGCCCTGGCTGGGCTCTGGTGCTGCCCGAGGTGCATCCATGGAGGAGATCCTTGGATCAATCCCTGCTTTATTCTGGAAATCTGTTTGGTCTCTGCTCTAGGGCAGCCTTCTCAAGTGAATCTGGGTTTGTTTTCAGTTGTGGAGCGTGTTCTGAAGAAGGATCAGCATCTCCTGCAGGACAAGAGGCTGCCCAGGCCCTACCCCCTGACAGTGACCCGCTACTGCCACAACGTGAGCTCCTCCCTGCTGTCATTAGCACTGCTTTAACTGAAGGGATGGGTCCCAGTAGGGCTAAAAACAATTTATTGCTCAGATAAACATCAGTCTCAGAGGCTGGGAGATACAAGAGAGAAGGCAGTTTGCCATAAAAAATGGTCACAAGTTCTTTGTTACAAGGCAGTATAACTTTATAACCCAGTGGACAGTTGCCACAAAGTTTATTTTGCTTTTCTAACCTATCACCTTTACTCACTTCTGCTGCAATGGATATACTTTTATCCAGTGGGTTGGTGTCACACAGATGCATCTGTTATAACTTCTCAGCTCTTAGCTACTCTATACAATTACACCCTACACTGTAAACTCTTCACTATCTTATCAATAATTTCTTACTTACTTAAGTTACTTAAGATGTTTCTTACTTCTTAAATTGTAGAAACATAAGTTTATGATGTTTCTGCTTAATGTCTGTGTATTATATTTTCATATCAATCCAAGCTTCTCCCAAGGCTGCAGATCAAACCCTCCTGTGTCTGTGGAAGTTTCTGTCTTTCCATTTCCCACACCTAATTCATCTAATTATCCTCAATACCTCATTAGCCACTCCTTAACTTCTCCCATTGACAATTCCAGGCCTTCCTGTGGGTCACATCCACCCTGAACATGGCTGTTTTCAGGGATCACTTGGTTTTGGAAGATTTGGTGGAGGAGATGAGGAAGCAGAGCCCGGCTCTGAGTTTTGGGCCTTTGCAGCGTGACGGGCAAATTGCTGTGCAAGGATCCTTCCCAGCACTCCGAGTGCTGAGAGAATTCCTCCTGCTGAAGGCAAAATCCCTCTCAGAGAAGGACAAAAGGGAGGGAAAATCCCACCAGAGACCGAGGAGGAAGCTGCAGGAGCACAGAGGTGCTGCGGAGACGCGGAATTCCACGCGGGATGCGCAGAGGGAAAAGCAAGTGCTGGTTCTGGACACGGATATCTATCACTACATGAAGTGCTTTCATCCCAAGGCTTTCCAGGGAAACGACCTTGTCATTTCTGGTGTCACCGACGGTGACATCACCACGGTGTGCATTGAGAGTGCTGGCAGCAAGGCTGGTGCTGCTCAGGGACTGAGGGCCAGGAAAATGATGGAAAATTACTCGGTGGAGCTGCAGAAGATTTTACGGAAGGAAAGGATCGGCTTCAAGGAGCACAGCAGAGCTGAGAAGCAGAGATACAGACAGCTCTGTGACAGGCTGAAAGGCCGCTACCCCAGGGTGCTGGTCATCCCTTGTGACACCCACCTTGACCTTGTGGGCACGTCTGCTGATGTTTTTGGGTTTGCAGAGGAGGTGAGGAGGCGCTCCAGGTAGGAGTGAGGGCTCCTGTGGTTTGGATTTCTCAGGCAGACCCTGCCTGTGGCACTGCAGGTCTCCCTCTGTGGCACTGGGGTGTCACTTTGTCCCGCTCACAGGCTGGCAGCTCTGCAAGCCTGGGCCCCCCAAATGCCAAATTAGGGTCAGAACAAAAAAATCAATGATTTTTGCATCTTTCATGAACCTGGGAACCTCTTGTGCCCAGAAACAGCCACATTTCCTTTTGGTACCTCAGTGCATTCTCCTCCCAGCTTGCTGTCAAGGACTACATGATGAGAAAAGAGATTTTATTTTTTTTTTTTTTAATCTGGGTCTGCCAGCCGTGTAGGAAACACTGCAGGGAAGTTCTGTGTGAGGTTCTGTGAGGAGCCGACCACAGCAGCCAGGAGTGGGGACCCTTCTGGGCCTTCATCTGCAGAGGGACCCTGGAGAGGAGGGCTGGGACACCTGGCAGAGCAGAGTGCACCTGGAATGGACAGGCTGGAGAAAGCCTTGGTGGTTCTTCCCTGCAGGAGACAGGCGACTTTGTTTTCATAGGAGCAATAGTGGGGTTTTTTCCAGCTGTAAAGGCTTCTGCAGCACCTCTTGACAGCTCGTTATTTAGACATGAAAGTGTGTCCAGAGATTTGATGGGAAAATTTGGGGGCGTTCAGACTTTGGAGTCGGATTCTGTTTATGCAAATCTGTTTTTATATCCATTACAAGGGCACAAATGGGTTTTTTTAAAACCAATTTAGAAAATAGCTTTTATTTTGTGATGTCTGTGTTTAGAATAATTTCTCAGAATATCCAGGGCAGCTTTTCTGTCTGATGTGCAAGGAAATTTTAGGGGTTTATGCCATTAAAGAAAAATATTGTCCAAAACATTGTGTCTGTGTTATTTTAACCAAATCCCAGATTTTTTGGTTGGAAGCCCAAACCTGAAGCCCAAGAAATGCTCGAGGCATTTTCTTGTCATGACTGAATCTCCATTGAAGTGGAGCAATTGCAGTGAGGTGTGTTAAAGCACCTTTGTGTATTAAAAATTTATTAAAAGTTTATTAAAAAATGACTGCCAAAGCAGCAGGTTGATGAGCTTAAGTGCTTTGCTGAATTGGGAAAGGGGAGCAATATTTAAAGATATTAAATAATAATAATAGTAATAGTAATAGTAGTAGTAATAATAATAATAATAATAATAATAATAATAATAATGGTGATTAAATATTTAATTTCATCCTTTCCAAGTTCCCCCGTGCTCTGCAGGTTCTCCAAGGGGCTCAGGGATGGGAAACTCTGGAAAACTCCCCCTGGAGCAGTTTGGGGTCGTCCCCACAGAGCTCAAGCAGAGATGGGAAGTTTTTCAACCTTGTCAAAGAGAAAATCCTCTATGAAGGATAGTCCTTTAATGAAATTAGTGCTGTTTTCCAGTCTCCACATTGAGCTTCTCTTCTTTCTATTGAAGAGGCTTTTTTGAAATTTTTTTTTTTCTGATTCAGAGCTTTGTTATTTCCCACTTTTTTGCTCAACAGGCAAACCAGTGGCACTGGTGTGTGTGTGAGCCCTGCCGGTCGCTGCTGCCTGGGGGTGGTTTTTGAGTCACTTTTGGCCTCAGCACAGCTGGCAGCAGCACTTCAGGTGTCCTTCAGCTCTGGTTTTGTGCCAAACAACCCCTCCTTACCCAGCGATCTGCAGTCACCACCTCCAAACCTTGAAATCCCAGCAGAATAAAATGTTCCTTTTGAATCCCGGCTCAGCTGGAGCAGCTCCTCTTCCCATTCCCTTTGCCCCCACGTCCTTGGCACCCCTTCAGCATTATCCCGTTGTTCCCAGGGCTCTCCATCTGCTGCTCTCATTCCCAGGATGTCGATTCTGGAGACAAAAAGAGCTTTTTTGCCTCGGCTGTTTTGTTTGTGGAGTGCTTTGGAAAGAGGCATCTGGGGAAAGAGGAGCAGAGGAGCTGCTGTTGTGCTCCAGGGCTGCTTTTCCAGCTTGGATTTGGCTGGGAATGCCCCACCTTTGGCCCTGGCATGCATCCAGGGCTGGTGGTTTCTGAAACACAACCAGTGAAACGCACATTCCTCCTCCTCACCTGCAGATTCCACAGAAAACAATGGATATTTAGCTAAAACCCCTCCAATTTGGTCACTGCCATGAATATTTCAGCAAATCCAACCAAGCAAACCCGTGTTAGGGCTGCTCAGGGACTTGCCAGCTCTCTTTCTCACAGTTATTTTTATGGCAAGCAAGGCTCTGCTGTCTCTGTGAAATTCCACTTGAAAAATATTTGTGTGTGGTGGATAATATCTGGGGAAACAGCTGTTATTCCTGGATCTGTTGGCTGACTCAGGACTCTCAGGTTTGCACATTAATTTGAATAAAAAACTTGCTCAGGAGACCTCAACAAAACATTTGTGCCCTCCCTCGCTGCCCTTCCCCAGAAGGGGAGAAATAAGAGTTGTAAAAATACAAAGCCTCATTTTGATTTGAGGCACAACTGCTGGAAAATAAATTTTTAAAACACTTTTAAAAGCAGCACAATGTGAGCTCAGTTCCTGGCAGCACCTGGCTACAGTCAGTGAGGAAAACACATTAAAAACACCCTAAAAACACCTTAAAATGCTTTAAAAGCGTGAAGATTTGAGGGATATCAAATCAGCAGGAAAATCTTGGAGGATTTGGAGGCCAGAGCGATGTCCTGGCTGTCCTGAGGGGCTGGGGGAGGTGGTGCAGCAGCAGAGATGGGCTGGAGCCCTTCAGCATCCCTGACACAAAGGGCTGCTCCTGAGGGAGGGAGGGAGGACAAAGCTGCTCCCCGTGGTCCCTGTGCATCTCTTGTGAGGATGGACGCCGTTCCTGCAGGAAGGAGGGGTTTCCATGAGGAATAAAAAGCCCTTTCTGCAGGTTCCCTGTCCCCAAAGCTGCCCCTGCCGCCTCTGAGCCGCCCTCGAACTTTGTGCGTTTGCTCCAAGAGCACAAACTGCAAAGGAGCTGTCACACCTCCTGAAAATCTGCAGCCCTAGGAGGATATTCTGCTTCTGAAAACTGTGTTTTATTTAAAAATAACCCCCGGAACGACGTGTAAGAAAAATAAACAGAGTTAATAACAATCATCTCATTAAGTGAGGTAACTTCCACACCTTCGTCAGGGGACTGGGAAGCATCCAGCCCAGATGAAAATGGGAATATTTACCAGCTGAGGGGGGCTGGGGAGTCCCTGCAGCCGTCCAGGGGTGGCTCCCAGCCGGGGAGAGGAGATGGATTTAGCAGGGATCTCCCTTGGCTCCGGGAACAAGCCCTGGTTCCTGCTCTGGTGCACATCTTGTGTGGGACAAAAGCAGCTGTGACCCTGCCCAGGGGGGCTGGAGAGGCTGGGAGAGGCTGGGAAAGGCTGGGAAATGCTGGGAAATGCTGGGAAATGCTGGGAAAGGCTGGGAAAGGCCGGGAGAAGCTGGGAAATGCTGGGAAAGGCTGGAAAAGGCTGGGAAATGCTGGGAGAGGCTTTGAAATGCTGGGAGAGGAAAGGCTGGGAAAGGCTTTCTGCACTGCTCAACCCTTCCAAGGTGGCTTCTCCCTCTCATCCAGGGTGGTCAGGGTTCCCGGATCCATGGCTTCCATCCAGTTTAATTCCGAAGGACTCCTTGGGAATCCTTCCCTTCACCTGCTGCAGTTAGCAGTGAAAAGACCTTTCCCACCTCTCTCTTTTAAATGAGCAGCACAGAGAAACCCCATGGGGGTACTTTACCACCTTCACCTGAATTAGAGGATGGGAGTCTTCCCCGATTTCTGCAGCAGCTGCCTGAAGATAACCAGGCACCCTGGCCAAGGGGATGAAAAATAGGCATTAATTTTAATTATGACTTAAAGCAAACCAGAACAATCGAGTCAGACTGCACAATTCAGGGCTGACAGCACCTGGTCTGCTTGTACTTAATTTTTCCTTAGCTGTAGGAGTTGTAGAACATCTGCTGGAAAACAAATCCCCTTTTTCTACTTTCCTAACACAGCTTTTCTTTGTCTCCTGACACCCATTAATGACCTTTGAAGAAATCTCCTGCAAGGAACTCTGTTAAGGAAAGGCACCACCTCTGCAGGAGCAGCACCAGTGCTGGGTGTTGCATTAAAAGCACTTTCCAGGTGGATTTTCCCTGTCCTTTCTGCTCCTGCCTTTGTCATAGGAGCAGTGGGATCAGCAGCTGCGGGAAATGAATTTTTAGAGAATTCTCTCATGGTGTAGCAAAGGCTGATAGGCCAAGAACACTTATAGTGTATTGCAATTAGGAAATGTTTGGCTTCTGGTGGTGATGGTGTGAATTCTAACATCTGTACTGTTCCACCCTTCTCATGAGACTGAAAATGGAATAAAAGGTTTTAAAACACCTCTGTTACCCCAGCTCTGGGTCAGAAAAGGGCTCAATCCAACAAGCACCTGCCACCCAGCATACCAAAGGGGACAAAAAAACGGGATAAAATATTGGAAAAACAAAGTTCTGCTGTGTTTGTACAGCTGGAATAGTTTCATACTCCTGAAATCCCTGGAGAAGGAATGCCAGGGGTGGCATGTACAAACGGGATGGTGCAGGGGTGGTGGGATTTCTCCACTCTGGGACTTTCTCAGCTCACCCCTGATGGTGCTGGAGCTGCTCATCCCATTCCCTGTTCCCTCCGGGTGTCCCCGAGGTGCGGAGCTGCTCCTTTTGGGGTCACCCTGGGCTCTCCGCTGCTGCTGGATCCCTCCTGGGGTTGGACACCCGCAGGTGCCCCGGCCGGAGCTTGTCCCATCCTCCTCCTCCTCCTCCTCCTGCTCGGCAACACAAGAGGGAGCCAGATGCTTTGGAGCCGGAATTCCAAGGTCTGCGCCTGGGTCCTGCCCTGCTGCGGGAGGAGGAGAGCCGGAGAGGGTCCTGCTCCATCCTGGAGCTGTGGGAAACCGAGCTCAGCTCACCTTTCCCTGGAGGAGATGCCGGGATCAGGTCCTGTCTCAGCTCACCTTTCCCTGGAAATTTTGGGATCGGGTCCTGCTCCCTCCCAAGCTCAGCTCACCTTTCCCTGGAGGAGATTTTGGGATTGGGTCCTGCTCCCTCCTGGGACTGCGGGAGACAAGCTCAGCTCACATTTCCCTGGAGGAGATGTTGGGATCAGATCCATCTCAGAGTTTTGGGAAGCCGAGCTCAGCTCACCTTTCCCTGGAGGAGATTTTGGGATCGTGTCCTGGCTCAGCTCACCTTTCCCTGGAGGAGATTTTGGGATCGGGTCCTGCTCCATCCCGATCTCAGCTCACCTTTCCCTGGAGCTGTTTGGAGCGGCTCCTTCCCACCCTTCCCTGCCCAGGGTGCTCTCCCAGCCCCTCTTTCAAGGCCCTATAAACCCGGGATTCCACGCTGGGGTCGTGGCTGTCCGAGAGGAGCAGAAGCTGTGATTAATCCTTCGTTAAACACGCTGTAATTAAACCGTGCCGTAACGAGACCCGTGCCAAATAAAGCCCACTATCCCATCCCTGGAGCCAGGTGAGCTGGGAGAGCATGGGCTGAGAGGATCTTTAGGGTCCTTTCCACCCCAAACCACTCTTCTGTCTGTGTGGGATGCCCCCTTTATCTCCCTCTGCTCTGATCCCGGCTTACCTGGGCTCCTGATCGCTCCCAATCCCCTCCAAACACGGATTTTGGAGGAGAGACACCTGCAGCTCCACTGCCCCAGGAATTTAACCTTTCCCTTCTCCTCCAGGCTGCAGTCAGGGGCACCAAAACCGTCACTTTAGACACCCTGGAATAAAAATTTAAAAATCTTCACTTCCACTTTGACGCGGATGGTGACAATTTTTTCCTGGTGTGACAGCAGAAGCTGCTCCTCTCCTCAGTGTTACAGATGGCTGTGCTCTGCCTGGCCTGCACTGGGAGCTTGTGTGCATAAAATATCATCTTCACCATCACCTGGTGCTTTTATCTTTCAG